CCCATATTTTGACTAGAACAAAACAACTGCCAATAACATATTTACAATGTTACTATTTCTTTATTATGACCAGTATGCTCTCAATTGCAATATGACACTTGTCATGCGCCTGAAACTAGACTTTCCGAGTACATCGTAAATTATTCAAAGCCTAAAGGTCGTGCACGGTATCTAGTCTAGTCTGACTTGTGCAAAGCATGTTTCAGCTGCGTGTAGGGCTTCAATTTTCACTCGCAAAATACGAGTAGTTTCTGAAAACTACAAGCTAAATGCGGATACTTACAAGTTTTTTAGGCGCATTTGCGAGTAGGTACTTGCAACTTTCTAGGCTGAAATATGTTATGAAGATCTCACATGGTTTGAAGAAGACACACTAATTGTGATATGACCCATAATTGAAAGAGAAAACTACATTTTTAGAAATCCTAATGATGAAAACTGATTCAGAATTTGTGTTCATCTCAGACTGTTTTTGGTAGTTTATTCACAATGTGTGTACATGTGTGTTTTTTCAATGTGTTGAAATTCTCACTTTTAATTGTTCACACAATTGAACATTTCCAAGCACCAACTGTGTTCTTTGGGATCACTTGAAAATAGTGAGTGTTTATAAAAATTGCAGAGCCTTATGTTATAAATCCTTTGACTTACATATATTTTCTCGGTCTATATTCATTGTATATCAAACTTACGAATTTCAAATCATTATTACAGTCATATGAAAAAAATACAAATTTCAAACCTGGTGTACTCGCTGACCAAAAACAAATCTATTTTTTGGCATAACAGTAGATTGTATATTTCTTGTAGGTCTGGATTATAAGAGTCTGTTTGATGTTGAGAAAGATCCATTTGAAGTTATTAAACCAGTACTGCAAGGTAGCAATGTTCATGTCATAGCTAAACTAGCTAATAAAATACCTGACCAGGTAAGAATTAATTGACCCTAATATAATTAGAAATCTATCGCTGAAATCAATAGTTTTTAAAATACTATACTATATCAAAAATCTCAAAATTTCCTTTATTTTGGGTAAACTACATCACTAACATTTAATGTGTTCCAGATATATTAACTCCACAATCATTTCTATTGTTTACACACTTTATCATGTGACAAAACTTTTAACCTCTTACTGAAATCAAACATTTGCACATTGTAAAACATTTTTTTTTACCGCAAAGTATGGGCTCAGGCACTATGGGGATGTGTCAACTGATGTGTACCTGAGGTCCATCATTGTACTGCTTCCATACAAATTGTTAGCTCATCAGAGCAAATGAAAATAATAATTCCTTTACAAAACTGATTTCAGAATGCATAAAATGTTGAATGTCTAATGTAGATTGTGACATAGTTGCCGACAAAAACCATTATTTTTGCTCCATATATGACTATGTAGGTTGTATGTCAATTATTTGTCTATTCTTTTATATTCTCAGCTGAGAGGAGGTTTTCTTGTACCAAGCTCAATGTTTTGTCTCTATGTTAATAAGTTATTCTGGGAAGGTGAACAGAGTGCAAAGAAAGTACCTCAATCAACTGTAAGTGTCATGATTTGATTTCATTGTAATCTCTCTATGCCACTCACTTCTTGATAATCCAAGAGATAATGTTCTTCAAGTTCATAGTCAAGGAGATTGTCATCCATAGGCAATGCATACTATTAACATTGACAAGTCTATAAAAGTATCATGCTGCCACTCCATACAACCACTCCATGCCCACAACTCCGTGCCCGCCAATCCGTGCCCGCCAATCCGTGCCCGCCAATTCGTGCCCGGCAATTCGTGCCCGGCAATTCGTGCCTGGCAATCCATGCCCGGCAATCCATGCCAACTACTCTATGTCCGCCACTCCGTGCCATCCACTTCGTGCCATCCACTCTGTTCCAGCCACTCCGTGCCAACCACTCCGTGTCTGCCACTCCATGCTCGCCATTCCTTACCCGACAATCCGTACCCACCACTCCGTGCCAGCCACTCTGTACCAACCACTCCGTGTCTGCCACTCCGTGCTCGCAACTTTATATAAGGGAACTAGGGATTCTGTGACTATTGCGTTGTCGCATGATTAAAGTTTTTTTAAGTAATCAGTAAATAATGGGAGGAAATGTCTCAGCACATTGTCAGATATGTCAACCAGAGGTATGTGTTACCAGTGGCTGTTTATGTGGCTTCCATAACTATAATCTGATTGGTGCCCTTGTCTCTGCAGGCTGATTGGTTACATCGATATGAAGCTTGTGGTGAATATCTTCAACGATTAATACCATCTGATTTGATATTATTTTTTGATGGCATTACATTTACTGAAGAAGCTTTTGTTAAGGTTTGTATCATATCTATGTCTGTGCGCTATTATATTATCAGATTATTGTTAACACATGTAACTATAAAACATTTCTGGTCTAGTCATGACTATTTCATGAAAGGCTTCCTAGCACCTCATATTACAAGCATAAATCCATGGTAATTGCATCAAGGGAAATTGATAGACATAGTTTCACTATGTTATTTTTCAGTTGACTGTTGATTGTCGTGTTGATATTATCAAGAGAGCATTAAAGTATGTTAAACAGCAGAGTGGGAAAAAGAAACAGACAACAGAAACTGAAGCGAACTATGAAAGTGTTATCCAGTATCTACGGCAGTCTCAGAGACATCTAGATACTTTTAATAGTGCATTTATTAAAGACTTGATGAACTCCCAAGATGTAAGTATTCTTTGTTTTGTTTTACTTTTGACTATATATAGATATATGTATCGTGAATATTAATATTTATTCGTTTTAACAATGTTTATAATTTCATGCTCCTGGAACTATATATCGTTCTTTTTAATTCATGTAAAACTTAAATCTTGCATATCATAGGTTCCTAAAACTTACTTCCCAAATTTGGTTTATAATACAGCAATACTGCTGGACTACATTCAGTCACAGCCAATCTGACTTAGATTCACATGTAGGTAGGGACTGTAGTAGTATTAGGGACAACGTCAAAAAATCGATGTCGGATAAAAAACTTATTTCCTTTAGTTTGGGGGTGGGGGGTTTTGACCTCAAAAAGTTTCCATCCTACAAAAACGATTTTATTTTTTAATGAAGTCAAAAAAATCTTGGAGTATTTGTAGTTCTAGCCAATCATGGACAGAAATAACCGAAAAAGGGAAAAAAAACACAGAAAAATTGTTTGGTTCGAGTGTAAATCTGTGCGTCAAATGAGGTGCATTTGTAAACTCTTTTTACACCCACCCGACAACCAACTGCTATGCAATACTACTGTCCGATTATCAATTTGTATTTAATAGTGAATGTAGTCTGACGCCATGACCAATATTT